TGCTCTACAGAGCTGAAGGAGAAACGGGAAGAAGGGAGAGGCTACAAGAAGGCTTAGCTAACTAAATGCTTTAGGTCCAAGCAGGATTTTGGTCTCTTGTTTATTTTGGTTTTGTTTGTTTGTTTGTTTGTTTGTTTTGGAGGTGTTTAGTTCAGTTTGGTAGAAACTTGCTAGATTTTGCAGGAACCTAGTTAGGGGCATAGGACTTATGAATATAGAGAGGAGTTAAGAGTTTGAACAACACACCCAAGGACATAGATTGAACCTGGAAGAAACCCTGCTTATACTCAGTTTGGCCTGACTTGAAGTTCTCTAGCTTCAGGAAACCCCTAGATTCACAAAAATCACAGAGCATCCATTTAACTCTCACAAGGCTGGAGAAGTGAGATTTGAGGTAATTTACTCAGATTCCCATAGACAATGGGCTTTAACTCATATGGGAAGGCTGTATATAATAATGTAAAATGGTGAAATTGTGGCTATATATATATATATATATACACATATAATTTTACACTATCAGTCATTTTATCCATAAGACACTGAATAGTAAAGATGTTTGGGTACTTGGCTAAGGTAAAAACCAAGCACTCAAGCTTGTGTTTTTAATTCTTTACAATGTATATTAACTTTATAATAATTATGGAATTTTTCATTGATCTAAAACTTAATGAGAGAGATAAATTTGCCACGGTGATGATGACTTGTCTATTTATCCTTGTAGTTCTATCAGTTTTTGAGGCTATGTTATCAAAGGTTCATTCAAGTTTATAATTGCTCTTTCTGTGAATTGAATCTTTTATCATTATCTAGTGATTCTCCACCTCTAGGAATGCTTTTTGCCTTCGAGCTCATTTGTCTCATACTTATATGCTGATGCCAGCTCTTTTTTGGACATTTCCTTATGCATATTATTTCATCAGTTAAATTTCAACCTTAAGTTTTGTATCATATTTTTTTTACCCACTCTAAGAAGCTTTGTTTTTCAACTTAAACACTTGGCCATTTACACTAATTGTAAATACTTAATTATTTTAATTTATTACCATGTGTATCAGTTCTCTAGGGCTACCATAACAAAATAACCACATACTGGGTGGCTTGAACAACAGAAATTTATTTTCTCACAGTTATCGAAGCCTTTAGTCAAAGATAGATCAAGATGTCAAAGTCGACAGGGTTGGTTTCTTCTGAAACCTTCCTCCTTGGTTTGCAGGTACCCCTTTCTCACTGTGTCTTTACATGGTCTTTCCTCTGCATACAAACCCTTGATGTCTCTGTGTGTCCAAATATCCTCTCCTTCTAAAGTCAGATTGGATTAGGGACAAATGGGCTTGTTTTAGCTTAATAACTTCTTTAAAAGCCCTATGTCCAAATACATTCTCTGAGATACTGAGGGACAGGGTTTCAACACAGGAATTTTGAGGGGACACAATTCAGCCCATAACACTATCAATACATTATATATTTTTCTATATATTTACTACTTTCTTTGATTATCATTCTATTCTTTATCGCTGACCTTTCAGTTAGATTCACTTTGTTTTGGCAGAAGTACTGCTGACTTTTCAACAATATAAGGGTTAAATGTACCAACCCTACCACAGAGTCAAAAATCTGCATTAAACTTTTGACTCCTCAAAACCTTAACTACTAATAGTTCACTGGAAACCTTACTGATAACATAAACAGTCAACTAACATATTTTATATGTTGTATTACATACTGTATTCTTACAATAAAGTAAGCTAAAGAAAAGAAAATATTAAGAAAATCATAAGGAAGAGAAAATACATTTACAGTGCTATACTGTATTTTTTAAAAAATATATCCACATATAAGTGGATCCATGTAGTTCAAACCCATGTTGTTCAAGGGTCAACTGTACATCTCCTAGGATTTCTTTGAGTAAGAGTCTTTTATCAGTCAAGGTTCTCATTTTTTGGTCTGAGTATGTCCAAATTTTGCTCACTAGAAAGCTATTTTCTCTGGGTTTATAATTCTGGAATCATTTTTCTGTTCTCTGGACACATAACAGATTGTTTTCATCCTTTTTTGATTTCTCTGCCCTATGTTGAGGCAGTAAGTCCTATTAGTCTCTCTATCTGAAAGGCTGGATTTTGTCTCCTGTCATCTCCAACTCGTAAGATCATGAAACCTTTGCTAAGATTCCCTGTGGTTGGGCATATGCCTGCAGGACAAAGATGGCTCTAGGGCTCTGCTTTCCTTTCTGGGAATCTATTTTCACTTCATTTTTAGACTCTAAGTATTCCTCATTTTCTTGACAGAGCATCAATGCATGTTTCAAGTTGCTTTTTAGATTTTTATCCAGAATTTATTTTTGCTTTCAGCAGGAAGATCAGTTACAATACTTGGTATGCCATTCCGCTGAAAAAATAAGGCTGGTCCATCTCATTTAAAGAGAGACAGAGACAGAGGCAGACAGAGGAGGTTTTGTTTGTTTTTCTTTTTCTGTTAATAGAGGTCCATTTTAGGTTTGCCTGAGTGGTTGGTTAAGTATCCAACTCTTGGTTTCGGCTCAGGTTATGATCTCAGGGTCATGATATCAAGGCCTGTGCTGGGCTCTGCGCTCAGCTCAGAGTCTGCTTAAAATTCTTCCCCCACTCCCTTCCCCTCTGCTCCTCCTCCTATGCTCTCTCACTCTAAACAGTAAATAAATAAATAAAATCTTTAAAAATAGAGTTCCATTTTAAAAGTAGAGGACTTATTTGGGACCTTTTTTCCTCTATGTGCCTGCGTGACTTGCCTTAACATCAGGAGCAGCCTTGATGGAATAAAGATTTCAAGTGCCTTTAGGACTGCCTACGAAACACTGATAGTTCTAGCACGTGGCCTTGATTAAGCCGGGATAGCAATATTAGGTATGGGTTTAGTAGTGTAAGAGTCTCAAGAAGTCTCTGAGTTACTGTCCCTTTAGAATTTGTGCTGTAAAAGCTAAAAACTATGGAGAAATCTATAGAATTTTAACTTATCGTTATGTGGTGGAAACAAGAAGAACCGAGGACCAAATCTACGTAAGACTGAGCACAGGAATGACAATGCTAGCTCCTTGAGCCATATCTATGGGAAATGGTACTAAGCCATCACCACCCTTCCTCTCCTTAAGCCAAGGACATGCCTCAGAATCCTTCCCAGCACGGTATCCTCAGCACCCAGTGCCAAACAACCACAGGAGGAAGGAAAATGCAATTTAACAAAATAACAACTAACAGTACCTTGTGGCTTGTTCTTGTGTTTTTCAATTGGGACACTGTTAGCAACATGTTTTCTCAGGTGCAGAGGGGAAAAGAATTCTTTTAGTTTTCTCAGTTCACCTTTTTGGAAGCTCTGTTAAGGTAACTCATGTTAGTGCTTCCTGTAATTGACTACACAGAGACCCAGCAAGTAACCATCTAGTGATTGCTGGAGAGGAAAAGGAAGGCTTGTTGACAGTTTCTTCCAAATGTAGAACTTTGCCATGAAATTCTGCACTTTGAACTAGATCTGGAAATAAAGAAATTAAGAACTTTCCCAGTTACAATAGGTTTTCTTTTGTTTGTTTGTTTTGTTTTGTTTTTCTCTTAGAGCTCGAGATCAATGTCTGTTGGCTTGATAGAGAAAAGACGACAATTCTTCCATTTGCCTGAGCTGGTTTCCACTTAGGGGCCTTGGTGCCAGTTGTTCCCTTCACCTGATAGGCCCCTGTTCTAGATCTTTACATGCCTGACTCTCTCATCCTTCAAGCTTCAAGTCTTGGTTTAAATTAAAATTTAAAAAAATTAAAAAATTAAATAAAAATTAAAAGAATACCTCCTCAAGGTCTTTTCTGATTACCCAAAGTAGGCTTCACCACCACCAATTCATTCTCTAGTCAACCGTGTTATTTCTTTTTAATTTTTTATTTAAATTCAATTAGCCAACATATATTACATCATTAGTTTCAGATGTAGTGTTCAGTAACTTACCAGTTGCGTGTAACACCCAGTGCTCATCACATCACGTGCCCTCCTTAACGCCCATCACCCAGTTACCCCATCCCCCCACCCACCTCCCCTCCCGCAACCCTCAGTTTGTTTCCTAGAGTTAAGAGTCTCTCATGGTTTTTCTCCCTCTCTGATGACTTCATTGTCTAGTCAACCATGTTTTTTATTTGCTTTGTGGCATTTATCACTCACTGGAAGTACTTTTTTCCTTTTCATATCTCATCTGTCTCCCCTCACCAAAGCACACGTTCTGAGAGGCCAGGGTGCTTGCTGTCTTATATCCTTGGCACCTACAACAGTACCTAACATGCAAGTAGGTGCACAATGATATTTGTGCAGGAATTAATATGAATGAGAAATATGTACTTGCTGTTTATTTTGACTTATGGACTTAATTTGTAAGGTGACTTTATAAAGAGATTTTAATTTTATAAAGAGATTTTTTTGACTCTCATGGTAATAAGAAGGGACCAATTTATATCTCTATAACAGAAAATACATAGGAGTTGAGATGGAAAAATGATGTAGTGATTAGAGAGACAAACACATGAGCCTGGGCTTTAATCTCAATTTTTCCATTACTAGCTGTGAGACCTTGAGTGAGGTACTCAACCTCTCTGTTCCTTAGTTTTCTTATTTAAAGAAATTATGACAAAGAGAAGACAACAGGATTGGGAGAAAAGGAAATAAATGAATGTACTGCAAACACTTAAAATAATGTCTGCCCTTTGGAAGACCTCTGTAAGTTATTTATTGATATTGTCATATAAAATTACTGTAAATGCACATTATATGCCTGCACAGTTAACTTTTCATGAATTTCTTCATTTGTCAGGAGTAAATGATCATACCTACTTCATAGGATCATGGTAAGGGTGAAACGTAAAGCACTTAAAATAGGGTCTGGCACATGTAACACTCAAAAACTGTAGCTTTTATTATCTTATGCAATATATTCAAATGACTTTTATTCATTTATTCTTTCCATTCTCCATCTTTTTTTGTGTGTGCTACCAGACCGTGATCTTTATTCGTGACAGAAATTCTCATGGGCAGGAGATATCAGGATACATTGACTATGCCCACAGGCTAAAGATTGAAGATTTTGAAGTCTACTTTAGTGGAAAAAGAAGACTTCTTCCAAAACCCACAGATATGAGGTAAATTGTATGTACTTCTCACACCTTCAGTAAGAGAACAAGCTCCTCAGGGGCATGGTAAAAGATTCTTATGTTCTATATCGTGCCTAGAGTGGAAGAGACATATATATATGGAATGTGGTAAGAGTGGCTTGAATAAAAAATTTAAATGGGCAATGAACAGAGATGCACTTTTTCCATCAACAGTCTGAGGAAGAGAACTTTTCAGAGATGAGGTAAGTAAATTCCCAGTGACATTACTTTTAAATGATAAGTAGAGCCTAAAAATGGCTAATCGCATAAGGGTCTTGGACCACTTGGGACTTGGTCTGCTGAGGAGCCTCAAGAACAGTCCACCTAACACATTCTCTCCCCTCTTTTCTTTGGCCACCAACCAAAGTACAAGCCTTTGACTAGCATGCCCTCATTTACTCTCATTACTGGCCTATTCTGGGATTCCTTCCCACTCATCATTCTTATTATTGACCCCTACCCCTTTCTCTGGAGACCTCATCCTATCACATATGATCTGCTCTATACTGTCAGTTTATTCACAGATCAACTCTTCTATCCCTTTGGTAGTAGGTCTCAAGCTAATTTTTTGGTAGTAGGTCTCAAGCTAATTTTTAAATTCTATCTTTTACTTTCCATAGAATCCAGAAGTGGTAGCAGCATTCTACTTGAACTGTCCTCTATATCCAGACTATTCAACACTTGTAACAACACTCTCCTCCTTCGACAATCCTGCTGTCTTTTATCCATCCTTATTGCTGTTATCTAAAGACTTCTTAACCCATCACCACCTTAATGGACCTACCCTTTTTCTGATCCCACCTAGATGCATGGCATGTCATTTAACTTCTCTCTGTAATAATCTCTTTTTGAGCTTTGGCTGTATCTGTCCTGCTTACTTCAAAGGTAGATTGATAGGGACTTTTTTTTTTTTTCCTGCACCTGTAACTGAATTCCTGGGTTCTGCTGGGGGAAATTTTAGGAAATTTCACTAAGGTGTAGATATCCAAAAATATTCTAAAAAATATCCAAAAATATACTAACTCTTCACCACTCCCTCAAGATCTTTGTTGTCAGCTGCTGACACTGACTCCTCTCAATGTGTGATTTGCCTCACGAATCACAGATTACATTGACTCTAAACATAGAAACTACCAACTGATCTGTCTCTTTGTCAACCAAAACAGACTTCCTCACTAACCAGAGTTCCCTCAGAGTGCCCTTCTGATTATTTTCAGTCACAATTCTGTTCTGGCAGCCATTGGCCCTTGGGCCCACCATCCATGTTCAGAATATGACTTCTGCTGACTCCTGGCACACCACCATGCTATCTTGTCCATTAGCCCACCTCTCAGAGGGCCAATTTCCTACAAACTGGCACACATTCTTCTAACACAGCAAGACCTACACTTCCCCAAGAACCATGAGGGAATATATGCCCTAAGAATGACTTGGGCTTTTTTCCGGTGACATTTCTGAAACAACATAGGTCTCACCTTAGATGGCTGCACCCTTTGCTTTTAGAATGTGCTATGGTGAGTGCTGTGAATTGTGCAAGACTGTTGAATCACAGACCTGTATCTCTGAAACAAATAATACATTATATGTTAAAAAGAAGAAGAAGAAGAAGAAGATAGCAGGAAGGGGAAAATGAAGGGGGGAAATCAGAGGGGGAGACAAACCATGAGAGACTATGGACTCTGAGAAACAAACAGGGTTCTAGAGGGGAGGGGGGGAGGGGGATGGGTTAGCCTGGTGATGGGTATTAAAGAGGGCACGTACTGCACAGAGCACTGGGTGTTACACGCAAACAATGAATCATGGAACACTGCATCAAAAACTAATGATGTAATGTATGGTGGTTAACATAACAATAAAAAAATTATTAAAAAAAAACTAATGATGTAATGTATGGTGATTAACATAAGAATAATAAAAAAAAGAATTAGATTTATTTCTTGAAAAGAAAATAATAGTTCATTCTTACCAAGTGAAATATTTCCTTTATACATGCATCTAATCTCACACAATTTTTACAGATTCAGAGAAAAAATAACTACTTGTTCTGTTTAGAGCTAATTTATTCAACTTGTGTTTGATGCTTTCCATTCATCTTTCCACTGAAGCTATATTTCATCTGTTCCCCGTTTTTAAAAATTCCCAAACTCACTCTCAACTGACTCCTTTATCTTGCCTCTAAACATGCTGAAGCCATTTCTATTAAAAAAGAAGCAGCCATTCCTATTAAAAAAAGATTATTTCTATTAAAAATCCCTTTTTGCACTCCAACTCTTGCACTGCCTCTCTCGGTTTTCCGCTAAGCTCCTCAAAATAACAAGTGTCTCCAATTCTCACTTCTCATGTAGGCACTAACCCATGGTAATTAGTTCTGTGCCACCATTATTCAAATGGAACGACTCCTGCTAACATCACCAGTGACTGCCAAATTCGAAATCCCATGGACTGTTCCCAGTTCTTCTCTTACTTAACTTCTCTACAGTATTTGATTAGTGTTGATTAATCATTATGCTGAGTAATTCTTTCTTCTCAAAACTATTCAAATACTCTTTTTATTTTCAGAATCCCTCATTGAACTCTCCCCTTGTTTATTTCATACACGTTGGCATTCATTAGAGTTCATCCTTAGATTTTGTTTCCTACCATTCATTCCTACATTCTCCTGGGTGATTTGAACACTTTTCTAGATAGTTGTTCTTCTTATTTCATATTCAGTTATCCTACTGCTTACTTCAGAGAACCTTCTCTGTATCCCATGAGCACCTAAAACTTATTTTCAAAATTAAACTCACCTCAATCTCTGTAGTTTTCTGTTGCTTCTGTATCCTCCATCTTGGTAAATGGCACCACCCTTGCAACCCAAGTCAAAATCCAGATGTTATTCTAGACCTCTTCCTCTCTACCACCCCTCCGTAACTAATAATTTACTAAAAATACCAGATTCTATAACCTTAACATCTTTGTTTATGTTAAAGCGAATGTAAGATGTGTCATTTCACCTATATGAATTGTTCATACTAATATTTCAGTATGAATCTTTATCTGATAACATTTTAACAGAAAATACCTAACAAGTAATTCCTTAATATCCTTTAATACCTAGTTAGTCCTTATTCATATTTCATTGATTGTTTTAAAGTTATCTTTTCACAGTTGATTTGACCACATCAAAATCCAAATAATATTTTGTTTTCTTATTCTGTTTTCTGTAATTATTTTACTATATAACAGTCCCTTCCTTCTTTTTTATTTTTTTATGCTGTTGATTTGCTGGAGAAACCATGTCATTTATCCCAAGAAATGTCTCATATTCAAAATGTGACTGATCACTTGAAAACACGCTGTTGTTTTACATCCTACCTCTATCCTTCTATTTCCTGTCAACTGGCTTGATAAAATCCAGTTTCAATTTTTTTTTCTTTTTTTTTTTTTTAGGTAACCATTTTTAATAAGTGAAGCTCTGTGAGCTTGATCAGTGAGTTCAGGTGGTGTCAGTCTGATCACTCCACTATAAAGTTCCCCATTGTTTCACTCCAATTGTTTTAGAATACAGTAACAAAAGCTATCTAAATGTTTTTACTAAGGGTTGTATAATGGTAATTCTCTAATTCTGGAATTCATTCTGCATTATTTAGCTAGAATTCTTCCATAGAGAATAACTTTTCCTCATCACTTAGTTGGTTACCCTAAAATAGAATTTAGTGCATGCAGAAAGACAAAATAAATATTTTGATTATTTCCTTAAATTTATGGGAAAAAATGCAAAGCGAAAAGCACAAAAGAGTACAAAGATGATGCCAAATTTCTTTCAAAGTGGTTCTACCAATTTGTACCTACCAGAAGTAGTAGGTGTTCTAGTTAACAAACATTTTTTTCCCCACTGTACTGAGTTATAAATGATTCCCATTGTGGTTTTTAATTTTCATTTCTGTAATTACTTATCAGATTGGGCATCTTTCATTGGTTGATCAAATTTCCTTTCTGTGAATTATCTATTAAGACTTTTCCTCATCTTTTCTGTTGGTTATTTATTTCTCCTTTTCTTATAGATTGTGAATTCTTTTTATTTTTATCTTTTGGACATTGATTAATCATTTGCCTTTTGTATATACTGAAAAATATCATCTTCCATGTGCAATTCTCCTTTCACTTCCTTTACATTGACTTTTGATAGTCAGAAGTCTTGAGAGAATAATACATTTTACTAATCTTTTCATCTGAGGTTTGCATTTTTTGTGTTTTGTTTAATCAAATTCTACCTTTATACAGGGCATAAAGATATTATCCTATAGAGTGTAGTTTTGCTTTTTATTTTATATCTTTGACGTACCCAGATTTAACATCATATATAATGATAGGGTAAGAGTCTGCTTTTTATTATTGTTTTCCTAAATGACTAATAATTTGTCCTAAAACACTTACTGAAAAGTCCACTATCTTCTCTCTCACATGTGCAACACCATTTGTGTCTTAAGTTAGGTACATGTTTATTTCTGGGCTCACTCTTTAGTTTTATTTGTCTTCCTTGAAATGAGAGAATCTTGGTCATTTGGTATATTTTAGTAATAGTTTTTGAAATAAAGGCAGTTTTTTCTTCTTCAGAAGCTTCTAGGCTGTGCTTGTCCTTCACTCTAACATATAAATTTTAGAGTCAGCTTGTGAAGTTCACACACAAAAATGTTGTAATTTTGATTGGAATTGTTTTCGAGTTATGGCCAACGTACAATTAACTGGCATCTTTAGGAAATTCAGTCTTTCATTTATTTACTTAATTTATTTACACCTTTTAAAATTTCTTTTAATAATACAAGTTTCCTAATTAGTGAGTTTTATCATTTTTGTTTTTTGTTTTTTTTTCCTCCTGGGTGCCAGATTCTTTCAGAGCTTTTAAACAAAGTTAGCTCTATTCTGATGATCCCACTGGGTAATTTTTACCACATGAGTTTAATTTAAGCCATCTATCAGAATCAAACTTCAGATTTTTCACTCAA